AATGCAGGGTGACGCCATTCACAGCTTCCATCCGTCGTGCCCCGGAGGTATTGACGCAGACTTTCCGGTAACGTGGCCACGCCCCGAAGGCTAAAGAAAACAGCGCCTTTACCTTTGTTAATGAAATGCTGAATGGAATGACTTGCAAATCTTAGCAGAAGCTTGAAGACAGTGTCCTCAGAGTTTTGACCTTTAAATGGCAGTAACTTAGAGCTCAGTCACTGTAACAATGGCGAGGAGGTTACTGGGTAGCTGACAACCAGCATAGGAAAACAGAACTTTTGGTTTTGTACCTTATGTTTGCATTATGTGTTGACACTTTTGAAGATTTTTTATTTTATTTTTTTAAGATTTATTTATTTATGCATACAAGCTCTGGGGTACAGGCCAGATGCGCAGGAGGGTGAGAGGATTGACCAGAGACAGAGTAGGGAACAGAACAGGCAGATTGACTGAAATACACTGCTGAGGGTGTTAGGGGAGCAGCAGGCGAGTCAGGAGAGGTCTGCTGCGCCACGTGGGTAGCTTCCGGGCCAGGGATCGAACTCATCCTGTTAGGGGGAAAGGATGTCCTGTGCTAATCCCATACAGGCTTTGTGAACTCCACCCCCACTCCAGACCAAAGCCATCAGGACACTGGGAAAGACAAATCCCGTCACCACCAAAGAGAAGGTGGCTGGGACCTGAGGGAGGAGTTAAGCAGCCAGGTTGGGTATAAAAAACCAAACACGTGGGCCTTGGGGGCTCTCTTGCTCTGTCGCTAGCCTCCTGGCTTCATGGCTCCTGGCTTTCGGCCAGCTCTCAGAGTGCCATTTGGGATTCCAGATCGGTGGATCGGGTAGGACGCATTTAAAACTTTGTCTCCTATTTTTCTCCCTGAGCTGTACATTTCCTCATTTGCCCTTCCCTTGTAAATAAACCTTTTATTAACCTTTCGTGTGTGCCTGCAGTAGAGCATTGATAAGTCCTTTTAAGCGCGCGGGTGAGGACCCACAGTCAGGCACCCCATTTTGTATCGGGGCTGCCCTGTAACAATCCTGCAGTGGCGGTGGACAGCTTCATAGGTTGTGTCTCAAACCCTTGCGCCACCAGGGAGGCCCAATACTTTTGAAGATTTTTAAAATAAATCTAATGTGGTTGATTTGACATCATTTCCTCCTTCAACAAATACCTGCGTTTCAACCATAATAATACTGGCTACTATTTACTGAGGGCTTGCCAGGTACCCAGTATTATTCTAAATGCCTTGTAGTTCCACATTGCAACAAACACTCCCCTAGACCAAAAATTAGGAATAGGCAGGATTAAGTTCTAAGCATCCTTTGTGCTCCTTTTCTCATACTCCTGAGACACAGGGCAAGCTAGGAATTATGCAGTTTTAGGGACAGTGCAGGAGGGGACCTCTGAAGAATTTAGGGAGGCTTCAGAGATAAGGACAACAAAGGGAATGTAACCAATTCCACTGGGAAAAACAAACATCTCAGGACCAAGGACAACATTGTTAACGCTGGTCCTGTTTTCCTTCAGGTGGTAAAGGGAGGCAGAGATTGGAGAAATGGAGAGTGGTTTAATTTATGGACAACTTAGAAGGGCAGCTGTTTAGGGCCTCCCCGGTGGCGCAGCGGTTGAGTGCTGGGTTGCGAAGCTGCCCGCGGCCTCTGCAGCACAGGTTCGATCCCAGGCTGCTCCCCGGCCACCAGAGGAGGGTCCCACATGGCGCGCAGACCTCTCCTGCCGCCCGCTGTTCCCCTCAGCAGTGTACTTCGGTCCTTCTGCCTGCTCTGCTCCCTGCTCTGGCTCTGGTGAATTCTCTCACCCTCCCGCGCTTCTGACTGTACCCAGTGCATGTATAAACAAAACAAACAAGCAAACAAATAAACATGCCTCTATAAAATTAAAAAAAAAAAAAGAAGGGCAGCTGTTTAACTTCAACGCAGGGATGCCCATCCAGAGGACTGGGCCATAAAGATAAAGATGCAACAAATGGGGAAAGACAGACCTGTTAGATAAGGAATGTGAAGATCCCCCACTCAGTAGCAAATTAAGTGAGACAGCCGAGAACTAACCAATCACAAAGAGACTGGTGGAGCTTTAGAATAATGAGGGAAAGAAGGTATATATTCCCTGATACACAACTCCACTTTGGCTTCCTTGCCCCTCCCAGGCTGGTTCCCTGGCCTGGGAGTCCCACTTTATTTCTGCTCTTTTTCTCCTCAATAAACTTTTTCTTTCTCTAAACAAACCTGCCTCTTCTCGCTTGCTTGCCTGAGCATCTGCGAAGCTCCTGCTGCGGCTTCGTGAGACACCAACCCGTGGGGTCTAGTGGCTGGGACTCAGCGCTGCCCCTGCAGCCTGGGATCCATTCCTGGCTGGGAGACTAGGCCTGACAATTCCGGTATCACTCCCTTCCTTAGGATTAGCTGTAGACTTGCTATAACTGCATTTCTGGAAATTTGGAATGGGTGAGAAATTGTACTGCATCTCTAGTGAAAATCCCTCTGTGCCCCTCAGAGGTTTCCAGTGCCATCTTGGCATCCGAAATGCATCTGCTGAGAAAACCACCTCCTGAGAAAGTCAAACACCTTCACCACTTGCTTAGACTGCCCAGCACCTCCTTGGAAATGCAAAACCCCAACACTTCAAACACGTCCCTTCCCGCCTTATATAATCACAGCACTCCTACCATTCCGGGAGTCACGTTATCAGGGTGCTAATCTTATCGCTGACTCCCTTGGTGTCCATCTCATATAATAAACTCCCCCCTACAGACGTTCTTGTGGTTCAGAATTTGGCTTTGTGGGTGTGAGCCAAACCCTGGTTCGCTTGTTTACAACTTTATCCATTGTCCCACTTTTTATGTGCTAAAGAACTATGCGTGGTACTGGGCATACAGAGGTACAGAGACAAACAAATATACTAGTCTAGTAGGGAGAGCGACAATAGATACACACAAGATGTCAGGTAAGGCACACTGAGGATTTTAAGTGTTGAAACAGAGAGAGCAGCATGGTGGCTATTTAGATGTTAGTGGTTAGGAAAGCCTCCTCTTTGAAGTTGACATTTAAGCAGAGAACACAACGATGCAAAGACCCAAAGAAGGGAAGAAGGCAGTGTGTTCCAGCCACTTGAAAGCAGCAACAGAGGAAAGGGTATGAGGGAGAAATGAGGTGTAGGCAAGGGCCAGCTGTCTGAGAGCTTTCTATGGGAGGGCAAGGTCAGGGGAGTCTGGATTTTAAGTGTAAAGGGAAGTCAGCAAGAGGTTTAAAGCTATGAGCAGTTCTAAGGCCACTGCAATGTGGCTTGCATTTGGGCACAGCAAAGAAGCAACAGAAACCTGGGCACTTCTAGAAGTGAAGTACATAGGACTCGCTGAAAGGTTTACTAGTGGAGTCTCCCTGGTGGCACAAGGGGTTAATGTACAATGTACGATGTTGTCTGCAGCCAGTGCAGCACAAATTCCATCCCCAGCCAGGAAGCTACCCACATGGTGCAGCAGACCTCTCTTGTCTCACCCGCTGCTCCCCTCAGCAGTGTACTTCAATCAATCTGCATGTTCTCTGTTCCCCCACTCTGTCTCTGGTATATCCTCTCACCCCCCACACCTTTGGCCTATACCCCAGTTCTTGTATGCATAAATAAACCTTTAAAAAGAAGATTTACTAGGGCCTCCCCTGGTGGCACAGTGGTTGAGCGCTGGGCTGCAAAGCTGCCCGCAGCCTCTGCAGTGCTGGTTCCATCCCTGGCCACCGGCGAGGGTCCCACATAGCGCGACAGAACCTTCCTGCCGCACCCGCTGCTCCCCTCAGCAGTGTATTTCGTCAGTCTGCCTGCTCTGTTCCCTGCTCTGGCTCTGGTGAATTCTCTCACCCTCTCGCGCTTCTGACTGTACCCAGTGCTTGTATGAATAAATAAATCTTAAAAAAAAAAAAAAAAGACTATTTACTAGTGGTTGGGAAAGAGGCTTCTGAAAGTGACAGGCTGGTGGTAATGTGCAAGGACAACATGACCAATGGTGCCAACAACAGGGAAGAATGGCGAAGACAGGGATTTCTAATCTGAGTGTAACAGAGGCATCTCTATAGAAAAAGGGAGATTCCATGTTCCCTGCCCCACCTAATGAGGGGTGGAGCTGGACAGGGGAAGCTATAGAACACTTGGAGAGAACACTGCGGAGGCACTAGGAGAGGGATAGAGAGAGAAATGGACAGTAAAGGGTCCCTTGCTTCTTGGCTTTGGACTTGCACCAGAGTTGCAGGAGAAACATGGACTTGAAGAGACACTTAACAGAGACTTGTGGGTGAGAGACCCATGGGGAGGCTCACAGTGGCAGCCCTTATCTCGACTTCTACTTTGATTTTGTTGCTTTCACCCTGGACTTGCTAGCCACTTCTGCTGTTTTTTTTCCTATGGTTCCCTGCCGGAAGATGCCTTAGACTTGTGGCACATTTTCTGGCCTTAGAGTTGTGGCAAGCTTTAGGGCGTCAGTGGCCCTGCTTCAGGCCAACCCTGTTTGGCCCCACAAGGGATGGGAAATTTTGGGTGGTTTTTTTTTTTCTTTTACAGATTTAATTTTATTTATGCATGCATGCAAGAACTGGATAGTGTGTAGGCCAGACGTGCAGGATGGGGTGGGTGAGAGGATTTACCAGAGACAAAGCGCGGAGAGCAGAACAAGCAGATCCACTGAAAAACACTGCTGAGGAGAGCAGCTGGTGAGAGGGTATCTGTGCCGGGTTATAGTTTTCATAGCTGAGACTTAGCCCCTTGTGCTACCAAGGGAGGCCCCTGACAGTTGTCTTTGATTATGCTTCTCTAACTTTTTCACTTAAAACCACAAAAAAAAATTAATGACTATAAGACCGTAGAGTTTAAATACCCTCTTCCTCAGGCCACCTGACACTTGCTTGAGGGGAGTCATGAACCTAATACCCAGTAAGTGAAAGTATCTGGTTTACTTTAAAAAGTTACATTTATTCCCACCAACTCTAACACAAACAGAAGCCACTCAGACTGCGTCCTCTCCCTCTAACTCTCCAAAATGGAGAGAAGAACGATCATCAATGGCAAAGAGCAGTTGCATAAGCAACACTCAGAGCCAGAGCTGGCTTCACGCTCAGGAAAGGACGCTACGCCTCCTCCTCGTGGTTTCCGGTGCTCTACACGATCAGAGGAACTTCTCTAGTAACGAACTATAGAAATGATCCCTGAAAGTATAGTCTTGGCTCACAGCCGCCAGCTTCTGCTGGGTCTATGGCAGCCACACATTTTACAGTCATGATCACTTTTTTATTATTCTGAAACTCATTTCACCAGTTGTTATTGTTGCAACTCATTTTACTTCATCATTTGTTTGTCTTATACCAATTCGGTTGAATGGCAAATCTCAAAGCATCATTTCACTTGGATTCTTCTAGAAACACTTCACAGTCTCATTAGCATATGGCTTCCTGGCAGCCAATCACACACCTCTGGCAACTGCTCTCTAAGTTCCTATTACTCAGCACACCGGGCCTCTAGCCTCCAGGATCCCAATCAGGTGGAGCCCCTGCACCATGAAAAAGGAGATTCCCTTCCTGGCTTTGGTCCTCGTGGATTACCTCTAACCTATTTATTAGATAAATTCACCAGCCTGGAAAGATCTAGTTTCTTTATCCGTGAAAGAAAGGGAGGGGGGAAGTATCCTTCTAAAATCACATAATTATAGTTATAACCAAGACAGATTGTCGAATGCTCACTCGATGGTAAACACTCTTTTAATTTTTTTTTTTTTAAATAGAGGCATGTTTTATTTATTTATTTGTTTGTTTGTTTTGTTTATACATGTACTGGGTACAGTCAGAAGCGCGGGAGAAATTCACCAGAGCCAGAGCAGGGAGCAGAGCAGGCAGAAGGACCGAAGCACACTGCTGAGGGGAGCAGCGGGCGGCAGGAGAGGTCTGCGCACCATGTGGGACCCTCCTCCGGTGGGCGGGGAGCAGCCGGGGATCGAACCGGCGCTGCAGAGGCCGCGGGCAGCTTCGCAACCCAGCGCTCAACCGCTGCACCACTGGGGAGGCCCGATGGTAAACACTCTTAATCCCTTGTCTCATTTCATCTTCTAAACTGGAGATGGGCATATTTATTTCCTCATTATACATGTTGTTTATTGCATCTTTCACACAGCTGAGGGAGCCAAGGCAGTACTCTAGATATATCTGGCACTAAATCGAGTCTGGATTCTTTTAGATAAGAGTTCTTCCGCAGACTGTCTAATCTCCAATCAAATTCATTCTCCAATAAAGCATTAAACACATTATCCCTTAAAGCGTAGTCTTTTTTTTTTTTTTTTTAAAGATTTTATTTATTCAGGAGCCTCCCTGCTGGCACAAGGTTAAGCGCAGTGCTGTGAAGCTGTCCACAACCTCTACAGCGAGAGTTTGATCCCCGACCTGCCAGGGAGCCACCCATATGGCACAGAAGACCTCTCCTGACTTGCCCACTGCACTGCTCCTCTCAGCAGTGTACTTCAGCCTATCTGCCTGTTCTGTTCCCTGCTCTGTCTCTGGTGAATCCTCTCACCTCCCATGCCTCTGGCCTGCACCCCAGTTCTTTTTATTATTTTTTAAAGATTTATTTATTTATACAGGCATACCAACTGAAATACACTACTGAGCGGAGCAGTGGGCAACACTGGAGAGGTCTGACGCGCCATGCGGGTATCTCTCCTGCCCCCTGTTGACCAGGATTGAACCCATGCTGCAGAGGCTGTGGACAGCTTCACAGCGCTGTGCTCAACCGCCTGTGCCACCAGGGATGCCCCCAATCTTTCTTCCTTTTTTTTTTTTTTTAAGATTTATTTATTTAGGGCCTCCCCGGTGGCGCAGCGGTTGAGCGCTGGGTTGCGAGGCTGCCCGCGGCCTCTGCGGCACCGGTTCGATCCCCGGCTGCTCCCCGGCCACCAGAGGAGGGTCCCACATGGCGCGCAGACCTCTCCTGCTGCCCGCTGCTCCCCTCAGCAGTGTACTTCGGTCCTTCTGCCTGCTCTGCTCCCCGCTCTGGCTCTGGTGAATTCTCTCACACTCCCGCGCTTCTGACTGTACCCAGTGCTTGTATAAACAAAAAACAAACAAACAAAAAAACAAATAAATAAAACATGCCTCTATTTAAAAAAAAAAAAAAAAGATTTATTTATTTATGCATACAAGAACTGGGGTACAGGCCAGAGGTGTGGGGGTGAGAGGATTCACCAGAGACAGAGCGGGGAACAGAACAGGCAGACTGACTGAAATACACTGCTGAGGGGAGCAGCGGGCGAGACAGGAGAGGTCTGCTGCACCATGTGGTTAGCTCCTGGGCCAGGGAATCAAACTCGTGCTTCAGTACCTGCAGATAGCTTCATAGTGCTGCGTCTTAACCCTTTGCGCCACCAGGGAGGCCCTGTTGTTGTTGTTTTTTTTAAGATTTATTTATTAATGCATATAAGAGCTGGGGTGCAAGCCAGAAGTACAGAGCAGTGAGAGGATTCACCAGAGAAGAGTGGGAAGCAGAACAGGCAGATCCACTGAAACACACTGCTGAGGGAGCAGCGGGCTAGACAGCAGAGGTCCACTGTGCCATGTGGGTCACCTCCCTGAGGCCGGCTGGGGAATTGTACTTGTGCTGCCATGGCTGGCAACAGCTTGATAGCATGGTCTTTATTTAACCCCTGCGCCATCAGGGAGGCCCCCAAACATCCATTTTAATGTTAAGACACAACCACATGGTAAAGCACACCTCATCCCTCAACTTAACTTCGAAATGTGTCTAAGAACACATACTTTTATGATGTCCCTGGTTTTCCTACCAATACTATGCAGAATTATGGACCACAGCTGCATCTGCCATTTTAACATGGTGCTTACCTTTCTTAAGTATCTTCTTTACTTTCACATAGTTTCCTTGTTTGACATATTCGTGAAGCTGAGCTTCCAAGGAGTCATTTCTTAAGGAACCAAGCTGAACAGGACAGGGCACTGGAAGCTGAACAATCCGAGACATCCTTTTTTAAAAGAAAATAGCATGATGAATTAGAATTGCATGGAAGCAATGTCAATTCACATTTATTTCTCTCCTTGAACACTTTTTAATTTTTTAAATTTTTTATTTTTTTATAGAGGCATGTTTTATTTATTTGTTTGCTTGTTTGTTTTGTTTATACAAGCACTGGGTACAGTCAAAAGCGCGGGAGTGTGAGAGAATTCACCAGAGCCAGAGCTGGGAGCAGAGCAGACAGAAGGACCGAACTACACTGCTGAGGGGAGCAGCGGGCGGCAGGAGAGGTCTGCGCGCCATGTGGGACCCTCCTCTGGTGGCCGGGGAGCAGCCGGGGATCGAACCGGCGCCGCAGAGGCCGCGGGCAGCTTCGCAACCCAGCGCTCAACCGCTGCGCCACCAGGGAGGCCCTTGAACACTTTTTTAAAAGATGTATTTATTTATGCATACAAGACTGGGGTACAGACCAGAGGTGCGGGGGGTGAGAGGATTCACCAGAGACAGTGGGGAACAGAACAGGCAGACTGACTGAAATACTCTGCTGAGGGGAGCAGTGGGCGAGGCAGGAGAGGTCTGCTGCACCATGTGGGTAGCTCCCTGCCCAGGGATCAAACTCCTGCTGCAGAGACTGTGGATAGCTTCACAGTGCTGTGCTTAAACCCCTTGCACCATCAGGGAGGCCCCACTATGTCCTCAATGTTCATCCATGTTGTAGTGTATGTCAGAATTTTTTTCCTTTTCCTTTTTTTTTTTTTTTTTGTTAATCCAGCACATTTATTTTTTTTTTAAGATTTATTTTTATTTATTTATACATGCACTGGGTACAGTCAGAAGCGCGGGAGGGTGAGAGAATTCACCAGAGCCAGAGCGGGGAGCAGAGCAGGCAGAAGGACCTAAGTACACTGCTGAGGGGAGCAGCGGGCGGCAGGAGAGGTCTGCGCGCCATGTGGGACCCTCCCCTGGTGGCCGGGGAGCAGCCAGGGGTCGAACCAGAGCTGCAGAGGCGGTGGGCAGCTTTGCAACCCAGCACTCAACCGCTGTGCCACCGGGGAGGCCCTTTTTTCCATTTTAAGGCTGAATAGTATCCCATGTGTATACATATATACCCCCTTCCTGTTTGTCCATTTATCCATAGATGGAAATGGCTTGATTCCTCCTATGGCTACTGTGTCTGTGAATAATGCTTTGTACCTGGATGTACAAGTATCTTTGTGGGTCTGCGAGACATAAGTGGCCTATTCAGCCACCATTCTTTGTTACCTGCAGTTCTGCATTCCTATACAAGGTCAGAACTGCCAGTCAATTAGTCACAGGAGCCAAACCTTATATAGTGCCTTTCAAATCAACCAAGAGCAGAAAGCTTGATCAGTCTGGGAAGGCTATGCATCACGAGGTATGACCGGGAATGACTGGGGGGCTGATGATCTATGCATAAAACGTACTCCCGACTTATACATCACGAGGTATTACTGGGAGTGCCGGGGACCTGAGGACCCCAGAAGCTGATCAATAGAATGCCTTGTTGATAAGATTGGAACCATGGCTAGGAGTCTGGTGTATGGTTTCAATTACAACACTTGGTCATCAAGCAGGTAAGAATTATCTGGTCAGCTGTCTGCACCAAGCCCTAGATGACAAAAACACATTCTTTAGTTTCCACCCATCTTTTTCTTTGTCCTCCTACCCCACGGAACTGATGCTGTATGATTATTCTATCAATAAAAAAGCCAGGATCTTGCTTGTTCAGCAGTATCCGGTACTGTGCAGCCTGCTCCACGACTTCCGTTTATCAGTGCAGTGCTGCCAAGGCAACATATCTTTAAAATTCTTGTTTTTAATTCTTTCGAGTGTATATATACAGAAGCAGAACTATTGAATGATACGATAATTCAATATTTAGAGGAACTACCATACTGTTTTCAATAGTGGCTGCATCATTTTTACATTTCAACCAGCAGTGCACAAGGGTTCCAATTTTTCCAGATCCTCAATACCTATTTCCTGCTTTTTAAAAGTAATATCATAATGGCTTCCAATATCTTTTTAATTTATTTTTTATAGAGGCATGTTTTATTTATTTATTTATTTGTTTGTTTGTTTGTTTGTTTATACATGCACTGAGTACAGTCAGAAGCGCGGGAGGGTGAGAGAATTCACCAGAGCCAGAGCGGGGAGCAGAGCAGGCAGAAGGACCAAAGTACACTGCTGAGGGGAGCAGCGGGAGGCAGGAGAGGTCTGCGCGCCATGTGGGACCCTCCTCCGGTGGCTGGGGAGCAGCCGGGGATCGAACCGGCGCCGCAGAGGCTGCAGGCAGCTTCACAACCCAGCGCTCAACTGCTGCGCCACCAGGGAGGCCCCCCAATATCTTTTAAAATGTGTTTACTTCAAATCTTTATTTAAAAATGGGGCCTCCCCGGTGGCGCAGCGGTTGAGCGCTGGGTTGCGAAGCTGCCCGCGGCCTCTGCGGCGCTGGTTCGATTCCCGGGTGCTCCCCGGCCACCAGAGGAGGGTCCCACATGGCGCGCAGACCCCTCCTGCCGCCCGCTGCTCCCCTCAGCAGTGTACTTCGGTCCTTCTGCCTGCTCTGCTCCCCGCTCTGGCTCTGGTGAATTCTCTCACCCTCCCGCGCTTCTGACTGTACCCAGTGCTTGTATAAACAAAAACAAACAAACAAATAAATAAATAAATAAAACATGCCTCTATTTAAAAAAAAAAAAATAAAAAAATAAAAATGTCTACAAATAGGGCCTCCCCGGTGGCGCAGCGGTTGAGCGCTGGGTTGCGAAGCTGCCCGCAGCCTCTGCAGCGCCTGTTCTATCCCCAGCTGCTCCCCGCCCACCGGAGGAGGGTCCTACATGGCCTGCAGACCTCTCCTGCCGCCCGCTGCTCCCCTCAGCAGTGTACTTCGCTCCTTCTGCCTGCTCTGCTCTCTGCTCTGACTCTGGTGAATTCTCTCACCCTCCCGCGCTTCTGACTGTACCCACTGCCTGTATTAATAAATAAATCTTAAAAAAAAAAAAAAAGACTCCAAATAGGGCCTACCCTGGTGGTGGAGGCGGTTGAGCACAACGCTGTGAAGCTGTCCACAGCCTCTGCAGCGCCGGTTCGATCCCCGCCCGCCTGGGAGAATTTCACATAACGCGGCAGACCTCTCCTGTCTCGCCCACTACTCCCCTCAGCAGTGTATTTCGGTTCATCTGCCTGTTATGCTACCTGTTCAGCCTCTGGTGGACTCTCTCACCCTCTTGCATCTCTAGCTTAATAAAAAGAAAATCTTAAAAAAAAAATTAATGCATAAGTCAACCCTTGAAGAAAAACAGCAAAACTACAGAAAAAGCGAATAGCATAAAACTCAAAACACGGCTTCCACAATTTTATCTTTGGCAACTAAATAAACCAGGGGAGAGCGCGAACGCAGTCCCCCACTACCACAAATTATGCAGTCGAGTTTCCCACATTTGGGGAAATCGCAGGGGTCAGCACATCCGGAGTGCAATGGATAAGCCTCGCCCTGGGAAAACCACCTTCGTGATCATGGTATCTCCCCTGCCAGGTAAGTATGAGTTGTTCCTCCCGCTTGGTACCTTGCCCTCACCATTAAAACACGACATAGTCATGGTCAATTATACTCCGTGTTCTTCAGGCTTCCAGTAAGAAATTATGGGGTTAGTGACAGGACACAGAACAGGATACAGCCCTTTAGATATTCAGTAAAAATTCCTCCTCCCGAAGAATTACTCTAACCGGCAGGCACCGCGCTCCTCATCTACATATCCCCGCCTCTCACGCGTTCCTTATCTACATATCCCCGCCTCTTGTCGCTACGTTTCTTTCCTGCAGTTATTTTGCTTCCGGGAAAGAAGAGTAAATCCACTCTACGACGATCTAAAAAAAGATCCTCAGTTGGTGTAGCTGGGAGATTTTTTCAAGTTCCTTGCCCTTCGGGCATACCTAAAGATTTCAACAAGGATTTGTCATGAGAAGCCCGAATTCTGCTCTGCTAGACGGTGCCGCTTGGGAGGCCGGGGCCAGCGGCCCAAACATAAGTGAAGGCCATATATTCAATTACGCGGCTAGAATCGCAGCTTCACTTTGGGACTAAGTCTCATTATTGCTCAGTCTCTTTCAGTCTCCAATTCCCATAATTCTGAAGTGGGGCTAGTACTGCCTACCTCGCGAAGTTTCTTTGGAACTCAATCACTGAATGCATGCAGAGTGCAGCCTTGAGGCCCAGCACCCCTCCCCCTCCAGGCCACACAGCTCCTGGAGAGGTGCTTCGAGCTGTTGGAGACCTGAAGTCGGCTTCGCCAAGATTCAACTCTCTCCTGCTGTCTGGGACCAAGGAAAGCAGCATCAGGTCTCGATCTGATAATAAACCTAGCAGTCCTTCTTTTAGATACGTTGTTTTCCATTCTGGCCTTGGTGGCTAGGGCTCTGGACAAAACAATTCTGTCCTCAGAAATTGTAGTATCAAAGGCTTTGGTGATATATAGGAGGTAAAACTTTACCTCTGCCCTGTTAGGGTCGCTGGCTGGGCCTGAGAACTAAAGTAGCATAGCTTAACAGGATAAAAACATGCAATTTTAATTTCATGTCATGTAAGTTTACCTGGCAGGAACCCTCTTAAGGAAAGGAAGACACAAAGAAGCAGCCAAACCTAAATGCCTTTTTTTTGGTTTTAGGTCGAAAAAAGAGGCTCGTGTGGGAACGTAACTAAAATATATGGGGAGACCGAAGGAAGACATGAATTGTTTTAACAAGATATTTTTGTACAAAATTCTAGGATTCGACTCCCTTTCTCTGGGAATGTTTCTTCCTTCCTGACATTGGGAGTGGGGGCATCCTTTACATGGGCATTTTATCTCCCGCTTTTTTTTTTTTAATTAAAGATTTTTTTTTTATTTATGCATACAAGAGCTGGGGTGTATGCCAGAGGTGGGGCGTGCACCCACTGCTGCACCAAGTGGGTCAGCCCCCTGGCTGGGGATTGAACTCAGGCCACAGTGG